CTTACCGAATCTGATTCTTGCATGCCTCACAATACGGTACACGTCCTCCATTTTGCTGCTGAGTTGTGGTGGTTGTTGTGGTCAAATGTCCGGCTTGCGGAGCATCCCCATTAGTCGTCGTGCGCTCGAAACTAGTCTTCGTGTAGGAGGAGCCTGAATTTTGGCGCGAAATTTGAAATTTTTCTCCTAGTTTGAAAGAGCGCTCCATTAAACAAATTTATTCAAAAAACACATTAGAAAATCCTAAATTATCAAATTTCTTCTCTTTTTTTTGCTCTCCATTCGTTGTCCCCTATCGCCATTGGACTAAAAAATTCAAATTGTTTAATGGAGCGCACATGCTAGGCTAATAAACTAGATTAGTAAAAATCACTTACACAAACTCAATATATAATCTAAAAAATCTATCAAAAAACTGTCAACTGCGAAATTGCTCAGCTTAAAATTTTACTCATTTTTGTTGTTTAAAGTTTCCTTCTAGCTACAGTAGTTCTCGAGATATGCGTCTTTGAAGTTGACGCGCCTTCCTGGCCGAGAGGATGAGGGGAGACGCAGAGAAACGAGACTGCTCTCGTCGTCGGCGTATCCTCCCTTGGCGTTCAACTTTAAAGGCGCATATCTCGAGAACTACAGTAGCTAGAGAGAAACTAAAAACTACAAAAATGTGTGAAATTTTATGCTGAGCAATTTGTCAGTTGACAATTTTCTGCTATCTTATCTAGATTTTGAGATAAAAACCGGTTTCTGAAGCTATGGTTTTAACACTAAATTAGGCATTAAAAACATGAAATTTAGTAATTTCAAAGCAATTAAAAAAGCCACACCTTGTAAATTTCCATTTCCATTATCTCCAACACCATTCTTATCACTGATCATCACCTGGCCAAGGCGGGCAGCTAAGAAGTTTCTCGAGTCTTCCGCCGAAGAATCTGAGCGTCCCGAAGGTTTTCGAATCGAATAGAACTCATCAAGGACATCGTGCAAACTAAACAGAAGTTAGTAGACATATAGAAACGTAGAACATGGACCAACATAAATTATTTTTCTTACCTCTGCGTCTCCACAGCCCCCTCTCTATCCGGTTGATAAGATTCAAAAGGGAAAACCTTGCGCTCCGGAGGGGGCGGAGCCTGTCCGAGGATCGGTAATTGCTCCAAATCGTCTAGAACCTTCTTCCGGAGCTCAGCTACACGGTCACCAGCGATGCTTGGCTCTGGGGTGTCCTCCACGGGCCGGAGATTTTGTAAATATACAATTGCGGACTCTAGAAGAGTGCTCAGCTGAGTTTGGGTTTGTTCCAGCTCACTTTGATGGCGAGCAATGCACTCGATGGCACGAACTCGATCGTCGTCTTCCATTTCTCGAAGACCTAGTTTTTAAATTTGAATGATACAATTTTGGCGCATTAAAATGAGCTCAAAATCGGGAGAATCGAGCTAGGCAACTTTAAAGGCGCATATCTCAAAAACTAGAGTAGCTACCAAAAAAGTGTCAACTATGAAAATGTTTAAATTTTAATTTTACATACTTTTGCATTTAACAAATTTTGACTAGTTACCGTAGTTTTTGAGATATGCGCCTTTAAACGTTTTAGGCTCTGACTACAAGAGGGTGCGCTTCTGAAAAGTTTAAAAGCCCATAAGTCAAAAACTACAGTAGCTATAAAAAAGTTGTCTACTACGAAAAAGTTGAAAATGTAATTTTACACATTTTTGCAGTAATCAATTTTCTGCAGGGTACTGTAGTTGTGTAGATATGCGCCTTTAAAGTGAAAGGTGCGCTAGAGACGCGGCGACACAGGAGAGAGAGGAAGAGGCGCAGAGACGCGAGACAATCACTTTTTCGAAAATTTTGCAAAATGCAATAGTTATACTGTAATAGTGATAAATAATAATTGCTAAAAATTCTGGAGAAAATAAGAAAAACATGAACTATAGGAGTTTTTCGAAAAATTTTAAAAAATAGTTTTTTTGGAATTTTTGGAATTTCCAAATTTTGGTTTTTTACAAATTTCAGCGAAATTTCGAATTTATATCAATCAAATTATTTGATTAATGACGCTCTTTTCACCAAAAATACAAGAGACGCAGACATCCTAGACAGTCTCTCTTCTCTGCGCCTCTTCTCAAGTCTAAAAATATAAAGGCGCATATCTCGCAAACTAAAAAAACTAGAACATTTTTGTTAACTATAAAAATATGTGAAATTTTATGCTGAGCAATTTTGCAGTTGACATCTTTTTGATAGCTATTTTAGTTTTTGAGATATGCGCCTTTAAAGCTAAGCGGGTCGGCGCCCCTCCCTATGTCGACTGCGCGGAGACGCAGAGAAGCGAGACTACTCTCGTTTCTCTACGTCTCTTTTCAACTTTGAAGACACATATCTCACGAACCATAAAAGCTATCAGAAAGTTGTCAGTTATAAAAATGTGTGAAATTAAATTTTACGCAAATTGACATTTTCAAAAGTTTTCTAGCTACAGTAGTTTTTGAGTTATGCTCCTTTAAACTCGGGGGTTTTAAAGCCGCATATCTCAAAAACCATAAGACCTATAAAAATTTTTGAATTAACATTTTTTTCTTGCATAAATGTTCTAAATTTCGTTTTGCAAATTTTAGACTAATATTGCTTCTATCAACAGTATCTTTTACCTTGTAGTCTCTCATTAAGCGCTGCCACTATCATAAGATCCCTCTCTGTCTGCGCATCGTCATCCAGAAGTTCCATGGCTCGTTGTCTCCACAATTGCTCAGCTTCTCCTCCTCCTTGCGATTTTCCAACGACTCGAATTTTCGATGGCCTAGAAACCTCCAGAATTTCCTCTTCCTCGATTTCGAAAGTTGCCACGTCATCAATCATTTCCGACTCGTCACCATCATAAGTCGCGGCTTTCAACAATGAGCAATCGTCAATTTCCTCTGTTAAGATGTCCGATTCATCAATTATATCCGCCGAATCCTTCCATTCCGTTTTGGGGATTACTGTAGGACTCGTTTTCGAGAAATCCACTTTTTTGAAATGTTTAGGGTCCCTTCTTACTGTAGTTGTAGGGGTGGGCGGGGCTTCATGAGTTTCGTGATAGTGGGCGGAGCTTAAAAATGGCTTTGGGGATACTGTAAGTGGTCGTGGTCCCGTTGGTTCGTGAATTTTGATTGATCCTGGATTATAAGAGTATTCTGATGGGCGGCCCACTTGGTCCATAAGGGCGGTGTGATCCAAAAGGGGCGGGGTTTGTTCCCTGGGTTGGAAAGTGGGCGGATCTTCGAATTTTTGGGGCGGAGCCTGGAGAGGCGGAGTTTCGAATTTTTGGGGCGGAGCCTGGAGAGGCGGAGCCTGCTCTTTATGCTGAGCTGAGCGAGTGAGCTGGGCCTTAAACTTCGGAACATCATGAGAAGTGGGCGGGGCCTCATATCTTGTGGGCGAAGCCTGTTCTCTTTGCTGAACAGATCGAGGGGGCGTGGTCTCATGAGAAGTGGGCGGAGCTTCGTATGGACGATCGATTTTGAAAGTGGGCGGAGCCTGGTCGTCCGATGACCTAAAAGCGGCCGGAGCCTGATTTCTAAAAGTGGGCGGAGCCTGATTTTCCGAGAAACCAAAAGTGGGTGGAGCTTGAGTGGGAGTGGCCTCCTTCACCTTAATCGGACTTGTCGCCGCCTCCACTGATACTGTAGGTACCGTAATCTTCTCATTTTTCCTGTGCAATCGAATCGATGGAATTGGAGACGTACTCTGATCGTGTACTTGAGCAGTGGGCGGAGCCAAATTTGTGGGCGGGGCCGCCGAGAATCGGGTTACTGTAGTTTGCAGTTCCGTGGATGTGGTTATATTAGCGTCGGAGCTGCGAACAATGTAGGATCGAACCGGGGAGAGTTCCGGGGACCTTGGAAGTGGAATGGGCGGAGCTTGAGAAGGGGGCGGAGCTTGGAAAGGCACTGGTGTCGCGGTTTTGGAGATTTGAATTGGGGGCGGCGTCGCATATTTTGGAATCGGCTTAAAAATTCCATCGGAGGGCTCGGAGGTCACTTTTGCGGGGCTCGGGGAGCGTACAGGGCTGTGGATTACGGTCCAGTGAATTCGACTTTCTATTTTTGGAGGCTCCGCCCCTTTAGGCTCCGCCCCTTTATCCTCCCCCTTTACATCTACTCGAAGCTCTGCCTCTTTTCTCTTCCTATGCTCCTCAAACGCCTCTTTGACTTTCTCCTTACTGATATTTGATGCCCTTCTGGCTTTTCGTTTTGACTCCGCCCCTTTTTTAGGTTCAGCGCCTTTAGGCTCCGCCCCTTTCGCCGCCTCCACTTCCTTAATTAGTGCTGCTAGATCTTCTCCATAATTTAATTTCTCTTTCTCTTTCTTGAGCGCATCTGCCGGATCAATTTGCCAATATCGATTTGTGGGCGGAGCCTGTGGTGGAGGCCATTGACGTGGCACTTTTCCGGTGCGTCGTGGGGAGACTGCAGATCGAACAGAGTCTGGGACTCGGGAAGACGGATTTTCTGGAAATTTTAGGACAAATGGACATGGACAAGGACAAGGACAAGTTTAGGACAAAGCTTTGGGCAAGACTTGGACAAGACAAATTTTGTTTGAAATTAGACAAAAAACCGACAAAAAATCCCGAACAAAATCACCCAAAAACTTAGAGATGTCCCAAAAACAAATTCAAAAAAATTATTTTTTTTTCAAAAATTCAAAAAACCCCAAAAAGTAGACTAACCATGAGACGGTGGCGGATTCGATGGCACTGGTGGCGGAGCCGTTTGTCTCGAGCCTTGAGAAAATTGAGATGGAGCCGGCGACAGGCGATTTGGGTCGTAGTGGGTCCCGCCGGGTCCCACGCCCCCGCCATAGGTTACGGTCTTTGAGAGGTCCGCACCGAAGGCCGCGTTTGGCACGCCGCGTTGAGCTGGGCTGAAAAAAAAAATTTCAGACAAAACACAAAAAAAGATGAATGTTCTAGCACAATTTTGGGCCGAAATAGGAGTTTTTGTAATTTTTTTGAAAATTCCAAAAAAAATTTTTTCGAATTTTTAAAACCTATTTTATATCACTCGAAAGCTCGAAAAATTTCCTATAAAACTTTGCAATTCACATCGAATTTGGTTGTCGTTTAAGCGAGTTATGCGCCTTTAAAGTTTGCCGAAGAGACGCAGACAACGAGAGCGCTCTCGTTTCTCTGCGCCTCCTCGCGGCCGGCAGAGCGAGAGGCGTCGCTCCCTCTTTAAAGGCGCACATCTCAAAAACTAAAAGAGCTACAGAAGAGTTGTCAACTACAAAAATGAGTAAAATTTTATGCTGAGCAATTTATCAGTTGACAACTTTTTTCTAGTCTTTGTAGTTTTTGAGATAAATGCACATTTTTAAATGTGATGCTGCGACTCTATCATTTTCATTCATTTTCAGCCAAATTGCTGTGCTGGAAATTTAATTTTGAATTTAAAATCAATCTAACAATAGAGAACATTTTTTAAAAAACCCAAAAAAAGATTAGTGTTCTAGATCGATTTTGTGCCGAGGTACGAGTTTTTGAATTTTTTTGAAAATTCCAAAAAAATTTTTTCGAATTTATTTTTTATCACTCGAAAGCTCTTAAAATTTCCTACAAAACTACGCAATTTACATTGAATCTGGTTGCCGTTGAAGCGAGTTATGCGCATTTAAAGTTTGCCGAAGAGACGCAGACAACGAGAGCGCTCTCGTTTCTCTGCGCCTCCTCGCGGCCGGCAGAGCGAGAGGCGTCGCTCCCTCTTTAAAGGCGCACATCTCAAAAACTAAAAGAGCTACAGAAGAGTTGTCAACTACAAAAATGACTAAAATTTTATGCTGAGCAATTTATCAGTTGACAACTTTTTTCTAGCTTTTGTAGTTTTTGAGATACATAACTTTGAAGTTCAAAAGTCACTTTCAACCAAATTGCTCACCTCAAAATGCCCTGTGTTTTTGGTGTATGATAATGAGTGGTGATAGTCTTCCCTCCGGCAGATGGTACTGGTGAAACAGACACTGGACGGGCATATTGATTGATTTGAGGGTGATAAGCGGCCCGCGGACTCTCTTGTTGGACATGAACAGGCTGAGCGGCAGTTGGTGAGGATTTGCTGGAACAAATTATTGGTTTCGAGCTGAAATTTTCAGCTGAAACTAACACAAAAATGTTTGGGTCCATTCCCGGACGTCCGCCGGCTTTCCGTTGGGTTCCATGAATGTCACAGTAGAACTTGTCTGAAAATTTTTAGATTTTCTATAGACAAGACTTGATTTTTCGATTTGAAGTTGAAAAATTTGAATTTATTAGATTGAGAGCTTCAAAATGAGCCTAAACATGGCTGCTTTTGCTCAAATTTGAGTTTTTGACCTACGCGACGCGGTTGCGTCGCGGTTTTTTTTCAAAATCGTGCTAGCAAAGACAATATGGGGCTCGTTTTGAAGCTGAAAACTTGATATTTGTATTTTTAGCGTTTAGAACTTCAAAATGAGCCCTATTTTGCCTATACTAGCCCAATTTCGGAAAACCGCGACGCAACCGCGACGCGCAGGTCAAAAATTCGATTTCAAGCAAAATTCGTCGTGTTCGAGCTCATTTTGAAGCTCTCAACTTCAGAATGTCAAATATAATGTTTGTTTTATGTTTTTCTACAATTAAAAACCTATAACTCACCCTCAATGAAGTGATGTCCAACGTTTCTCAGTGAGTTTCCACAGGTGGCACACGACAGACAGTCCCCATGAAGATTCTTGCCGGCGGCACGAGCCATGACACCCAGAATCGGTCTAGTGCACATAAAACATACTGGAAGACCACTGGGATTTGGGTGATTCGACAGAGTCGTTGGTGCTCCGTGCTCTTGCTCTTTGAGCAAGCGAAGTGTCTCACTTCGGAGATAGGCTGGCTCATCGGCACGGCCCGCAGCGGCGCGGGCTCTGAAAATTGAGAAAATCGGTTAAAACTTTGAAACTTTTATGGAAAATTAGACAGA